TCTTGCTTCCTTTACGCTGGCCCCACAGGGAATGGCAGTGGTTAGCATGGGACAGTAGAGACAGTCTCTCTGGGGAACTTCCAGGTAGGCAGATATAAGATGGAGGTACCCTGGGAACCGTGGAGAGGGCTGTGACCCCAGGGAGGAGGTAGGTCTCAGGAGCAGTCTGGCAGGGCTGCAGGAAATGTGGAGAGTGCCAGAAAGACCAGAGAAGGACAGGGAAACTGGAAAGGGCAGATGAAAATTGAATGCTGTCGGCCAGTGACTTCCCTCTGGTCACTCGCTGTTAATCAGGGGCTGCCTGACTGGATGGTTCCAGAACCAAGCAAGAGAGACTGGCAGTAGGAGCAGTATTGAGAGCCTTCTTCAACATCATCCCTACTGACATCCACGGGACGATGTTGCCTTGCCAAGCAGATTACATCTTCCATGTTACTTTAAGTTCTGGACTAGTTGAGGTTAAAACTCAACCCTGCAATTTCATCCACACCAAACTATATTTTGAATTAGTACCCTCCAGGCCACTATCTCACTCTCCCTGTTGTCTCAGCCTGATGATTCCAGGCTGTGCTCTATCTCAAGTTCATCGTCCCCTGCCCTACCTCCACTGCCTTTCAAACAAGTTGAGGCAATAAGACCTTCTAAATACACCAGGGGAAAGAAATCATTCTCAAATGATTGCAACATGTTCCAACTTTCCACAGGAGTGTGAGCTATTCCATAATAATGACATGTCATTGCAAAATTATCTTTATTTTGACTTATAGGAGTTCTTTGTCAATAGAGGTATGGATAGTTCATTTTTAGTGAAACACTGGATAACTTAAAATCATTATTTGCTAATTATCAGTCCAAAATTCTGTGTGGTACCCCTTTACCTTATACATATGATGAGAATAATGAAAATGAGCTAATAGTAACTTATAAACAAAGAGGAGCAATTGGAAAACTCAACAAATTCTGTAACAGTAGTAACAAAGAAACACAAAAATGTGGAGAATTCTCTCTTTGCTCATATAGTTATATATTAAGAGCTTTGCAAGATTACTGATCCTTGCATGAAAGTGCAAATTCATAACAGGACACTCATGAAGAATTCCCCCAAAACTCTAGCAACATCTTAAGTTTAGTTTATAAAAAATCAACTTAAGTAAGCCTTGAAACAGTTGTAAGACCCTAGTAAGCTGTCTTTAATTTTACATTAAAATCAAAATTCTATGTTACTATATGACATTTACCCAGAAGAATACAATAAAGAGAACACATTTTGCTTATCAAAATCAGTTTGTGGTCACTGGGAGCCAAGGACTCTCCTTAGAAAATGAGCAAGACAGACATTTGAGTTCGCAGCCAGTGTTGAGCTCACATTTCTGGTCTGTGATGATTGCTTCAGTCAATTGCTGGTTTTCCTATGCTGCACGTGTATAAACCTTTGGTCAAGGGATGGACGTTCATGGCAGCCCCTATGGTTCCTACCTTGTCTCATTCTCCCTCCTCAATATTCTACAATGTTTAATATATCGATGATCCTTTTGTTGGGGAGGAGGAGGACAAAACAATCAATATGGCTTTGGTTGCCAACAAGCCTGTAGACTGCAGGAGCTGTTTTCCACCTACATAGCTCAGCTTCTACTCAGAACTGACATCTCCAAGTGAGTCAGCCCCTCTGCAGATGCTTTCAGGGTATTTTTCCTCCCAGCCTTCCCCTACTCCCCAGTGTTTTTAAGGAAGAGTGAAACAGTTAAGTCACAGATTAGGCAAGGCAATCTTCAAAGTTTACTCCCTCCCCCCCAAAAAATGAAGCAAGATTCCCCAGGGCTCGAATGTGCCTAACTTCAGAAATCTAAGCATCAGCATATAGAACCTTCCAGGGAACAACACTAAGTAGATTAAGCTGCCACATCAACTGTGATTGATTTAAAATATTTAGGGTTCTGTTATCATAGCCACACAATTTTGTGTAAATGCCTTGAAGAAAAAATTTCTTTTAATGGATTTGCTAAAGCAAAAGCGTAGCTTGAATGGCAAAGCAATGAACTTTTTATTTTATTAAGAAGATACTAAAAAAGACATTTAAAATCTCCTGGTTATGGATTTTTAAGGAGATAAGTCCTAGCGGATGCCTAGGCTCTTGCAGCCAGTACTGCAGAGGCTCCTTCTCTTTAATGGGGCTCTCAGGGTCATTAATTTCACTGACCTCTCTTGAACGTTCAGGGTCATTAATTTCACTGACCTCTCTTGAATGTTCAGGGTCATTATTTTCACTGACCTCTCTTGAACATTCAGGTCAGACAATTTCTGCAACTGTGGCAGGATGACAACCTCTGAAAGGTTGCCTTGATACCTATGCCTTTAGTTATTTTCCCTTCACAATAAAAATAACAGTAGCAAATATTAAACAATAATAGTAATAACCATGCTAATTATTGTTATAAGTTATTTTTATTATTATAAGAAACAACAGCAGCAACTACCATGTGCTGACTACATCTGTCATGTGCTGAGTACATTCTTTTCACCATCTCATATAATCCTCAGAAAGCATAGTGTGTTTGGTGCATGATAACCACTTAAAAGTGAGGTCCGTGGAGGGGAGAGCCCTTGCCAGTATTCCATACTGGTCCTGGTATCCCTTCTGGGTCCCTGCAACTTCACAAATCTTGCTTTGAACCACTAAGCATTCTGATCCCCAATCCCTTACCTAGATACTGAGCACATCTCATGTTGAAACAAATGGTTTTTAGGAGGAAACAGATAGGATGAGTTCTCCAGTTGTTCTTAGGAAAAAGACCTTTTTACCCCCAAGGGCAACATTCATGGGACTTTAGAGTCCTTGTTGTCAACAGTCTACTCAGCATACGGGGCAGGCCCTTCCCACAGCCACAGGGATTGCATCCAGGGCAGAGAGGCACAGCTACCCTGGAATTTCCCTGTGTTCTACCAGCTATGCCTCCCTGGTGAACCTGGTGGACATCAATATCTCAGGGCATGCCAGTCCTAGGGCTGTTTCTACACTGAACAAGTATAATCACAGTGGATGCTAGCCAGTGTCCGTTTCATTCCAATGGTTCCCTCAGGTGGGGCCAAGGACATCATGTGATAATAAAACCTCAAGGTTGGTTCAGAAGGAAACTGGCATCGTAGGGATGCTCTGAGCTGGCACCCATGTTAGAATAAAATGAAGCTTCCTAGGAGACCACACTGGAGAGGAAGCCACGTGTGCATGTGTAAGTTTCAGTATGTCTGTCAGAAATATGCTGTTAGAACCAGGAGGTGGTGGTCTCTAGAAGAGAGGCGTGGGGTAGGAAGAAACTGGCAGGAAAGGAGCTCTAGGGAACTTTCTGGAATGACAGAAATGCTCTATTTCTTGGCTGGGGCTACACAGCCTATATATTTCAAACTTATCAAACTGTCCTTATAATGTGCATCTTATTGTGTACAAATTATACCTCCATTTAAAAAAATTAAAAATTCAAGTCATAGAACTTTATGACTTAAGTGACTTCAATGAAATTATGATAGGAGGTAATACTAAACTTGCATATCCATCTGCTTCATAATTTATGATACATAAAGTCACTGCAATGCAGAATCCCTGCTTGAGAAATGAATAGCACTGGAAGAAAATGATATTAACTTGAGAAAATGCTAAGATCTCTGAATATTCCTGACTCCCACTTGACCCAGCCTGGCACGGTAAATTATTCTGTGACCATATGGTCTCAGGCCAGGAGACTAAGAAGAAGTTGAATTGTTCACTGGCCTAATGCTAGAAAGCATAAAGCATACCTGACCCACATGTGGGTTTTTTAGAAAGGTAATTGCCCTGGACTTGAACAATGATATTCCCAATGAATATTCCTTACTCTTATATAAATTTGAACAGATTATTTAACCCCACCATAACTCAGTTGTGAAATGGAAATGTTGTTTTGAGGAATATATGTACTGTCTGTACCCCTCCACCCCCAAATTTATATGTTGAAGCCTAAATCCCCAAGGCAATGATGTTGGGAAGTGCCACCTTTGGCAATTTATAATATCATGAGGGTGGCACCTTCATGCATGGAACTTGGGCTCTTCTAAGGGGATAAAAAGATCATAGCTCTCACTGCTCTGCCAGGTGAGGACACAACAGGAAGACGGCGTGTGCAAGACAAGAAGAGAGCCCTCAACAGGCACTGGATCTGCCAGCCTCAACCTCAGACTTCCCAGACTGCAGAATCATGAGAAAAAATGTCTTGTTTAAGCCACCCATCTACCATACCCTTTATATCCTGTTACACCAGCTGGAACCATCTAAAGCAGAGGTTAAATAAGGTAATATGTAATACAGTGCTTACAATGGTGCCTGGCACCTAATAGCAATCAATATCTGGTTGTTATTGTTAGAATGAAGATATCATCAACAAAAAGAGTGATCACAAAAGTTTAAGAAAAGAGTTTTTCTCTCAGATTTTTAGTTATTTAGTAATCAAGCAGGGGGCTTCTGGTGTCAAAGGCAAAGCAGTGGTAGAAAATGTCCAGCTAGGTGGATGAATACAGAACAGTAAGTCACTCTGATAGGTTTCTTTGGAAAGATTTGACTTAGTCTCTTTTTTCAACTGTCCCTTCCCCAAGGCAAAACAAGACACCTTGCATCTTGCAGTGAGGGCAGAGAAACATATGCACTGGCAATCCCTGAATGTTCCCAGAAGTCACCCCCTCACATAATAAATCTCCCATTAACACACCTTCTCCCCTTCAGGAAAGAGCCATAGGACTTTACAAAACCCAGCATACCTGGCCGCCTCGTCAGTGCTCAACACCTCAGGCTCCTGATGACAGCCTGATGCTCCCAGAAGCTCCAGCATAATCTTTTTAATTTAGCAAAACCTCGAGACACTGGAGTTTAATTTATAGTTAAAGTCAAAGAAAAACAAACACAATCTGGCAGCAACAGCAGCAACAACAGTACCTACAAATCTTCACCTCTTCCACACTCCACTCACAGGGCTTACCTTCATACAGCCAGTCACTGAGCCCATTGTAAATCACACCTTCCTTCCCAGTGGAGACCACGCGGATGGCCTGCTTCCCGACATGTGCACAGTAGTAGATATTGTTTTCAAAGATAAATATCTAATTTGGAAAGAGAAAAGATATAGTATTAAACAGGGAAGTGATTATAAACAGGGTGTGTGTTCTTAAAAACATCTGCAATCATCAACATGGTTTTCATTGTCCCGTTGTATTTATTAGATAAAACAAAGGTAGTCTCAAGACATGGGGGCTCACCCACCTCCAGTATAACCTACACTTAAGGATTAATCAGGGAGACGGGGCAAGATGGCGACGGCATAGGTGAACTGGTGAGATTCTCTGAATGGACCAAGACTGCAAACTGCTGAATAGACAGACTGTAAAGCAGAGGGAAAAGTGAACAAAACCAGAAGACCCTCATAAGGAAGAACAGGTCATTGCAGAAGAGAAATAAAAGCAACCCCACCTTCCCTCAAAAACAGAATTGAAGAGGGGAAGGGAAAGGGGTAAAGGGAGAAAAATCTACAGAAATGAAGAAAAACCAAAAGAAGAGTATGGGTCTCTCCCAGACGCCTGGGAGGGCAGACACTGAGAAAACTGACTTTCGAATACAAACAATGAAAAGTCCCCAGAATGAAGGGTCTCAAAATGCAAATGTAGATATCAAAACAATAATGGAGAGATTAAAAAGAATTGAGGAGACACAAGAAGAAACTAGGAAGGAGCTGATATCTGAGATAACAGTAATAAAGAATACTGTGAATGAAATAAAAAACAAATTGATAAGCATGGAAAGCAGAATTACCCAAGCAGAAGAAAGAATCTCAGAGCTTGAGGACCAAAATATAGAAATAACCCAAACTCTTAAAAACACAGAAAATAAGCTAAAAAAGACAGAACAAAACCTTCAAGAGATGAGTGACTACCTCAAGAGGCCTAACCTAAGAATAATCGGACTCCCTGAGGCAGAAAGAGAAACAGAGACCACATTGGAACAAACTTTCCACG